CCGACATCCTCACCATCTCATAGTCTACATCAAAAATCATGAAGATTCACAAAGGTCCCCCACCTCAGAAAATCAGAGGAGTTTGTTATCTTCCCACAAACACTTGAAAACAAGCACTGCCATCAACTCTCAGAATGCCTTCTGATTCACTTGCCGGTGGATTTTTTAATAGTGTTTTCACATGTTTATCAGGAAATGACTCATCGATTTAAAGACAATTTGGTGGATGCCAAGGTGGAGCAGTATGGGGATTCTATTTTATCTACCACAAAGCTTTAAACCTTAAACTACTTGTTTGGAAAATCTGCTTAATCTTTTTCAAAGGTCCACATTAGCCAAAGGATCACAGGGTCATGTTTGTCCATCTGATGCCACATCCTGCCGGTAATGACAGCCAAAAATAATCCCCAAGAGAGTGGGTGATGTTCATTTCATAGCAGTTCTCATTACCAGTGAGATAAAACAGAGAAAATATTTTTTTTCTTGTAGCATTTCACTACATTGGAAAACTTGAAGTTACATGAAAATGTTAGACAAATTTTCTCCTCATTAACTGCAAATTGGGTCACGAAATGTTAGATGTGAGTTTTTTAATAATAACTTTGATTTAAAAGCCCAAACCTGATAACTCTCATAGGAAATCATGGTAGAATGTGATCATTACATTTAAATTGACCTCCCTAGCTAATTTATAAAGAAGACCCTAAGGTTAGAAAATATAGTGTCATGCCTGTGTCACCTCCAAGTTCATGTGTTGAAACTTTACCCCTCAGTGTGATGGTATTTGGAGATGTGGAGTTTGGGAGCCACTAATTGATAAGATAGAGCTCTGAATTGGGGAACCCAAGATTAGATTAGTATTATTTAAGAAAGAAACAGACCAGAGATAACTCTGCCTCTATCATCAGGTATCTAGGGAGAAAGAAGCCACCTGCAGTCTAAGAAGCAAGTCTTTCTTTCTTTTTTTGAGTTTTTAATTAATTTTTATTTAAATTAAAAACAATCTTATTTTAACATACCAATCCCAGTTCCTTCTCCATCCCATCTTCATATTCCTCCCACCATCTCCCCACCCAACCTCCATCCACTCCTCAGGGAGAGCGAAGCCTTCCACAGGGGATCATCAAAGTCTGTCATATCATTTGGGGCAGGACCTACATCCTCCCCTGTGTATCTAGGCTGAGAGAATATCCCTCCATATAGGATGGGCCCCCAAAGCCCATTCATGCACCAAGGATAAATAATGGTTGCACTGCCAGCGGCCTCATAGACTGCCCAAGCCCCCCAAATGATACCCATGTTCAGGGATCCTACTTTGGTGGAAGAAAGTCTTTCTAATAACCTAATTTTTTGACCTTAGAACTGAGAAGTAAATTCCTACTGTTTAGGCCAATGGAGACACGGCACTTTTGTTTTTGTAGCTCTCAACTTTCCTAAGCTGTGACCCTTTAATACAGTTCTTCATGTTGTGGTGACCCCCAACCATAAAATTATTATCATTACTACTACATAACTGCAATTTTGCTGCTGTTATGAATCATAATGTAAATATTTGATATTTTGAATAGTCTTAGGTGACCCCTGTAAAAGGATAGTTCAATGCCCCCCAAGGGGCTCATCACCCACAGGCTGAGAAACACTGCTTTAGAGTACGAAAACCTTACTCTCCAATGGAAGGGGGTGGAGGGAGGCTACCTTTGGCTTTTTGATGAGTGCAAAGTATCCCTCATTGAACAAAGTCACAGTGATATTCTGAAGCACTTAGTATGGCTGCTTGTAACCCATAAAACACAGTAACTACCAATCACAATCTAAAGTGCTTCGCTCCTAGCTAGTTTTCCAATAGCATTGCATTGGAATATATTTGATATATTTTAAATAGCATTTGATATATTTTAAATAACTCCTTGGTGACAATTCAGCATAGGAAAACTGTTTCAGTTTATTTAGTGACTAACCCTCAGCCTCTCCCCTTGAATTGAACTAATATGCACTGGCTTCCTGTGCAGAACTGTGGGAGTCAGAGGCGGCTCCCTGACAAACAACTGACAGTCCTTCTGCAGAGAAAATGGGTCTGTGTGCTGAAGAAACAAATGACACTAGCACTGTTAGTTTGTACAGGAACAAGAAGTGACTGAATACCTCCTTGGCTCTCTCTAGACAAAGAAAAGGGAAGTAGGCTAGGGGCTTGACTTTTTGTGTATCCCACCCTATTTCTTCATGGTTCAAATGAAAATCCTGTTTGAGCAGGGAGTTGTATTTAGAACAAGATCAGAGAAAAATAAAGATTCAGACTTAATTAAAAGAATGGCCTTTTGGGAGGACAATAGAAATGCTGGTATAATCGAAGCAGAACAGTTATAAGCATTGACACAAAGAATAAAACCAAAAGAGGAGGGAAACAACTGTAAGTATGAAAGGTGAGACTTAAATACAGTTAATAATAATAATAATAATAATAATAATAATAATAATAATATATTAATTAGTGTGCTCTGTTAAATGCCATATAGGTGCTGCAATTTTACAACCCCCCCAAAAGAACCCTACACAACTAGATACTTAAAGATTCCTGTCTGTAATTCAGATGCTGCCAATGGGGTAACATTTGGATATGTGGATTTTAAGAGATGATTATATCATTGGATCTACCCATGAGACTAGGTGGGACCAGGTGCCCTTGTTTAGGGACTTTATGGGGCCAATTGAACCCTCGCTTGCCCTCTGCCTTCCACCATGTAAGCCCACAGCAAGGTCACAGGCCATACCTTACTTGTGCTTCTCAGACTCCAGAAGTGTGAGAAATAACTTTCTGTTCTTATAAACTGTTCAGTCTTTGGTAATCTGTTGTAGCAGAATACATGGACAGAAACCATATGTATCACCTTTTACTCCATTTCACAGATGAGGCAGTAGAGAACCAGACGTAAAGTAATTAGCCCACACAGCTGCTAATTACTGCTAGTTACTGCTGTGGGTATTTAAATTGTGCACCTATGCTTTGATTCATGGCACTATCTTGCCTCTCAGGGTTACGTTCTTTACAAGTAAGTAACTATCTTACAGTATCCCCAGCCTAAATTTCATTCACAGAACAAACAGATACGCATTCTTTGCCTTTATTCACAATTTTGAACACTTCTTTGAAGAGATCATGTGGAGTACCCACTAAGTCATATCTGAAGGCAGCATGGAGAGCTCCAATTCCTAGGTCTGCCCTTGACATCTGTATGATTTGGGGCAGGTTACAACTTTGTGTGCCTCATCTCCCTCCATGGTGAAATGGAGGGGAATGTTTTGAAGGCTGAGTGTTCTTGACCAAGTGTTTAAAACAGTGTTGACACATAAAAACTACTAAAATATTTAGCTACAGACTCTTTAAGTCTATGTATAAAAGTTAAAGGGAAAGTGTGTTAAGCAGGGTGACTTTACTATTTGTTACACTCTAATCACACTGACTTTCAATATAGCCATATGCCCTGGATAGGAGTTTGTTTTGGCTCAGTCTGAAGATCTGAGCCATCATGGTGGGTGGGGAAGGGATTGGGACAAGAGCTTGAGGAACCTGATGAGACTGCATCTGCAGTCAAAAAGCAGAGTGAGAAAAGTTAGTGCTCAGCTCTTTTTAATTTAGTCCAGGATCCCAGCCGCTGGAATAATGCTATCCAAAACTGACGTGGGTTTCCATACCTTAATTGGCATAGTCTAGATAATTCTTCCACAGCCATGCCCAGGGCATGTGACCTGGATGATGTAGATCCTGCTTAGATAAATATTTACCATCACATTTACTTTCTTCTATATTTTTAATAAAAATGTAATGTAAATGTACCACAAAACCATCTTCAAAAAAACTACAATGCTTCTACTGGTAAATACCTCAAATAACAGCCTCAGTGCCCAGTTTCCTCTCACTCCAGTATGCTCTTCTGTATTGCTTCCACTCACAGACTAGTTCAGACTATGGGACACTCCCTAACATCTCAGGCCTGGTCCTAAGCTGAAAGCCCCATTGAAGAAAGGATCGCTTTACCAATACTTGCAATCTCCTCCTAGAACTTGTTCTCAGAACCTAGATTGGGTCACATGGTGGTCTCTGAGCCAGTCACTGTGATCAGAGGACATTATGTGCTCATAAGGCAAACCAAGTTCACCTACCCAAGGAGATGGAGACCTGCCAGGCCTAATGAGAGGTAGAGAGTACATCTTAAGGAAAGTGTAGGTACTGTTCTGAGAAAGGCTAACAGATGCTAGAGATATGAGACAATTCATGCATGCTAGGGTGAATGATATTATTTGGCCCTATCTACATGATGCAGTAGGAACTAGAAAATTTTTGTTTCCATGTTTTGGAAGATAATGATTAGTTCCTTCGCTTAAAAACCAATGATGGTATGATTTTGATTCTGTGGGGTTTTTCTTCTTGTTTAGAATGTTTCCTTTCAAAGCAAAGACTGTTTTCAAAAACACACATACTTTTCACCTCTTAGTTTAATTAACTTCTGAAATCTTCCATTAGCCATATTTCTTCAAGTTCCTTTTCAAGAAAAAACTAAAGAATGAATGACCCTAAAGGAAAAGAAAACAAGCAATTTGAAAGCTTAGCAAAACCTAGTTTGGTTTGATTTTTTTGTGTGTACATTTAATTTTTTTCTTAATGACTCCTGGGGGAAAAAAAAAAAACGCCTGCCATTCATATTTCTTCTCTACTCTTCCTGCCCCATGGTGAGAGCACAATTTTTTATCTTTTCATGCAGTCTGCACAATACAGTCTGTCTTTGCACTGAAATGAACATATTAAATATCCGGAGAAATTAAAATTACAATCACTATGTTAAGAAAATTTTAATGTCAAAACTTCATATTGTATAAATGTTGTTCTGTTTTACCCCCTAAATTATAAAGAAAGGTGTTCAAATACCAGCGTTAGCCTCATTTCATGAAAACATAACACAGCTTAGCAGAAGCCCAAAACAGTAGTTAATATAGAAAACCCTTACACTCTCTTTCTGCTCGTGTTGTCCTGGTATCTTCCTATCTTGAAACTTGTGTTCCTTCAAATGCCAATACTCCCATTTTAAATTGTTTATATTTTCTATTTGTTTACTTCATTCTCTTGTTGGTTCCTGGAATGATTTTTTCTGAAGTTACTTCAGATATAATTTGGCATTGGCCTTGATTTAAAAAAAAAGAAAAAGAAAAAGAAAACAAAACAGTAGCCATTTCATAAACTGTGGTGAAATTTCCCAACACAAAATAACAACATGCTAGCTTTTTTCTTTTCAGATTTATTTTATTTAAATTAGAAACAAGCTTGTTGTACATGCCAATCCCAGTCCCCTCACCCTCCCCTCCTTCCCTGCCACCCGCCAACCCCCTATCCCATCCTTCTTCTGCTCCCCAGGGTGTGAGGCCTTCCATGGGGGATCTTTCAAGTCTGTCATATCATTTGGAAAAGGTCCTAGGCCCTCCCCCATGTGTCTAGGCTGAGAGAGTATCCTTCTATGTGGAGAAGGCTCCCAAAGTTCATTTGTGTACTTGGGATAAATACTAATCCACTGCCAGAGGCCCCATAGATTGCCCAGGCTTCCTAACTGACACTCACGATCAGGGGGTCTGGTAGGTCCTATGGTTTCCCAGCCATCATTCTGGGGCCCATGAGCTCCCCCTTGATCAGGTCAGCTACAACATGCTAGCTTTATGTCATGTTAAACTCAGAGAGCATGAAGTATGCTAAAAGTTAATCTACTCACCCTCCCTTGGCTTCCCACCAAGTCTGGTCCCCGATGTGCACATTGGGCAGAGAGTTCTCCCTTTGGCTTCCTCTTCAATTTACTCTCAAATCAGATTGTTGAACTCAGAGACACCTAGATTTGACAGGTACATGTTGTCACTCTTCCCTGCATTGTTCCACAGTCAGACCATAACAAGCTGACATTTCTATGCATAGAAAATTTCATGTCCACATTCTGCAAATCTCATACAGTCCTACAGGGAACTTAACCATGCCCAACTTCCAAGTCCCTAAAGGTCCATTATGCTTCTCTGTGTCAACAGCTGAGGACTGAAACAGCTTGCTCTTGTCTCTCTGATATGTCTGGAACATCTGCCTCATAGTCCTCAGGATGTGTCTCATCTAGTAAATCACCCTAGTTTCTGGGAAGATGAAATGGCCAGTGCAGGAATGATATTGAGTATGATTCATTAGAATGCAATTTAGAGAAAGCATAATGTTGAAATAATTACAAATTGTGTATCAAAAATCCTGTTTCTCTTATTCACATTTCTTATTTTGAAGTCAAAGTCCCTGGATCACCAGTAAGCACCTCAGAGTAGACACAAGAATAATGACAACTTTTTAAAAACGTTTATGCCCATGGTCCCATACAAAGGTCTAAAATGAGACAGGTCATTCTGATATGCTCAGGTTTTCTTAATGAAGAATCAGTGGCGGCTTTTCCAGCACCACACAGCCTCCTGAGGATTGCTATGAGAATAACTGATTCTTATTAGTGTGCCCATCAATGCCAAGGACAAGCCTGAAGCAAAAGCAACTTTAAAAATAGAGGAGGATGCTTCTAGATCCCATATTGAGGTTACTCCATGCCCTGCATCAGATTTTCAATTCATGCTTGAAAAAGCAAAGATAAAGGACTGAAAGCATTAGAAAGGCATAGATATTGGAGCTTTCCAGATAGATACAACTTAAACTGCCCAAAGGAGGAAACCTCTTCAGATATGCATGTGGCTGTGGCCAGAAAATTGAAGTCCTGTAGTTACATGAAACCAGCATAGGACTGATCCAGTCCCCCTGAACGTGGGTGTCAGTGAGGAGTCCTCAGCAATCTATGGGGCCTCTGGTAGTGGATCAGTATTTATCCCTAGCATACGAATAGACTTTGGGAGCCCATTCCACATAGAGGGATACTCTCTCAGCCTAGGCACACTGGGGAGGGTCTAGACCCTATTCCAAGTGATATGGCAGACTTTTAAGATCCCCATGGAAGGCCTCACACTCCCTGGGGAGCAAAAAGGGTATAGGATAGGGGGTTAGTGGGGGGCAGAGGAAGAGGGGAGGGAGAGGGACTTGGGATTGACATGTAAAAGAAGCTTGCTTCTAATTTAAATAAAAAATAGAAAAAATAGGGGAGGATGAAAGCTATAATAAGTGAAGGGGAGAGGAAGGAAGGGAGGGAAAACAGGGAGAAAGAGGTTAAGATGTGTGGAAATAGTTTTTATAAAGCCACCATTGACAGACTTAAACAAGCAACTCTTCACAGACAGAATAGGTGACCGGTTCATCTCCACAGGAAACATGGGTTTCTCAAACCTTTACGTAGGTGTGAAGAATCTCTGTTAATTTGGATTACATCACGAAAATTGTTTCTCTAATCTAGATGAAAGCATGATAAATTATTCCTATTAAGCATGAGGGAGGAAGTAGTTGTACTGTGGACCATTCTTCTTGAATAATTTTCTCCAGGAGTTACTAGATGCAGTCTTGGTGAGCTGCTAATCCCTATTTGACTTGATTTGAAGATATTGGTGTGACTTCACAGCTTTGATACATGGGCAGATACATATACCAACATATACAATTACATAGGTGTACAGAGAAAGATAGTGAAATAAACACGGGCATCATGGTGTTCAGCCTTCAAAACATTTTTCAATCTTGCATGTCTCTTGTTATTTGTATCAATGTATAGCCTCCTCCTACAGTAAACATAGGTGACTATATACATACATGCATGCTCACATGTATAGTTTATACATACATGTGTATATATGATTAATATATTCATTCCCTGGCTATTCACTGACAGGACTGGGGGCATCAGTACTTCAAAAAGAGTGACTAGACCAGTACCTCAATCTTGGTTTCTTAATTTAACTCTCCACTAAAAGGAGTCACTGCTCATCAACAAATGGCTGACTTTAGAGTTAAGTACAGGAGACTAAAAATGAAGCTGACTATTTTATTCATTATATCAAAGAAATGCTCAGATTCTTGTGGAAGCCATCTGAGAAGGGCTCTTACTGGCAGATGTGTAATAACCTGTGCATCAGAATTAAAATTCCATGAAAGAAAATAGGAATTCATAAATCCATACTGATCTGGATAAATAAAATCAATTGGAACTAAAAAAAATCCCAATAATGAAATGCTAACTAATAAATACGAAAGTCATGATAAAATTAATAACAATTTGCAATCATCATTTTCATAATTAATTCAGGCAAGAAACATGAGCATTGCTAAAGTTAGTGAGTGCAAGTTCAAGGATGAAATATTTACCTAGTCAATTATTAAAACATGGTTAGTTAAAAGGAAGAAGACTGACTGCACAGGAGAGAAATCTAGCAGACATCGCCCTCCAAGGATTGATGATGACGTCAGCAGCAGTGGGATGAAATAAAAGCATGCTCCCCTCTGCCTAAGTTAATGCCATGAGAACACAGAATTATTACTCTAGTGGTTCAACTGCAAAAGGATTCAAATGGAATCATCATAAGGAGACATTTGATAAACCCAATTTCGGCTCAATTAATCAACTGATATAACAAAATCAGAAACTCATAAAAATATTTAAAGAGATTAAGGGACAGTTCTTGATCAGAGTAGATAACAGAGACATGACATCTGATGGCAATATGGATTATGTCTTTTATTAGGGCCATTATTGGGACCATTGTTAAAAACTAGGATGACATCTGTGATTTTGGCAATAATAATTTCTCATTGTTAATTTTGATGGTGTTTCTATTATTATGCAGAAATCTATAGTTATGTAGAATATATTCACTAAGGTATTAAGAATTAGGTTAAGATTGTAAATTTAATTAATTAATTTTGTGTGCTTGTGTCTGTGTGCTTGTCTGTGTACATATGCATGTATGTTCTACAGCACATATACAAGGTTTAGAAGGCAATTTGCTGGAATACATTCTATCATTTCACCATGTGGATTTCAGTAACTGAAATCCAGTTGCCAGGCTTAGCAGTAGGTGCCTCTACCCACTAAGCCATACTGCTGGCCCAAGTTAGGGTGATTCTTAATAACTTTATCAAATGGTTCAAAATAAATAAATAAATATCTTTGGTCTATTCATGCCTGTTTTCTGTTTTGGGTTATCTCCAAAAGAAAAGAAAAAAAAGAAACACTATATAACCTCAAACAATACTTATGTGGCAAACAACAGAGTAATTCAAAGAGATACAATATTAGCTAGAAGAGCAAAAAGACACATGGAGAGAACATGGATACACAGCAGACATTATATACAGGTGGAGAAAGTATCAACAGCAGCAACAATAAATAAAATAGATAAAAAAGTAGGTAGAAACAGAGGAGATCTGAAAAGACATCTACTGATACTCACTGCCCAAGAGGAAACAGATGGTGTCATCCAAGTAGAATAATTTCATTCATTCATTTAAAAAGATTATCTACAAAGATATGGATTATGGGAACATTGCAGCCAATGGTTGGGAGGAGACTAATAGTCTGTTGGGAGGGGAGAGCACAATTCAGGAATCCACAGAGAGTGTCAATGACTTGAGGAAAGCAATGACTGTGGGAGCAATTCAGCCAGCTGGAGAAGACCTTGCACCTGGTGTGGAGGGCACACTTCCTTCCCTATCTACTGCCAAGAAGCCCTACACACTAAACAGGAAACCCGACAGTGTGCCAACACATGCTGCCCACATGAGTCAGCCTACCTCACAGAAAGACAGAGGAATAGAAGGCCAATGCACAAGATCTTGCCTATTCTTCAAATCTATGGCATTAGGGACAGCTATCCTCGGCTTTCTAGAAACAACCACTCTGTGTGTAAAGTATTCAAGAAAATTTCATCAAGATTGAAAATTCTTTGAAAGTGTTCAAAAAAAAATGGGCAGACAGAGAACACAGAAGTCACTGGGCAATTCAAAGTAACAGTGAAAGGAAAATAATATCAGAGAGTCCTAGGAAGGAGCTATTAACTATGGTACTACAGCTCTCTGAGAATGCTCATCTACATCTTCTGACCATTCCCCAGAGGGAAAGATTAAAAACAAACATTGGAAAGATTTGCAAATATGGTTTTGCTTGTGGTCTCTAGGCTCAATTGAATGGCATTTTCACAATTGTGACTATCAGTCCCTTTTGTTTAATCTTCTTGTTTGTTGTTGAATAAAATTCAAAAGCTAAAACCTGATCATATATAAATCTGAACTGAGTAGAGTTCATATTTAAATTGCAGCCCATAGATTTTTATTTCCAATTTTTATTCATTCTCAACAATTCCTCAACAATGTTTTTTGCCTGGATGGCTGTGCTATAAAAGTAGACAAGTTTAGAGGCAGAATAGAGTTTGACACCAAAAGCTGTCTTGGGAGCTTCCTTGGTCTTAAAGGTGTTTAATACAAACAAGCAGCAGTTATACATGAAGAGTCTCTATGCTCACTATACCTTTTATTTTTATGGTAATATTAAATAGCCTTTGTAACCACTATGTTTTGTTTGCTATACTTTTGTGTTCATAACAATATTATAGAAACCCAGTCCATACTGACCCTGTTTCACTGATAAAGAAATTAGCTAAAATTCTCACAGACAGTAAGAAGCAGAAATATGATTTGAATCTAAGTTCCTGAATCCATAGCTGGTGCTTTGGCCACTATGTATTCGACCTATAACTAAAGTCTGAGTGTGCACTGAAGCCACATTACTTATTTCTAAGACTACTTTAAGGGTCACTGTTTTGTAGAGGAGGGATGAAGGAGGCAGATCAACGAAAACAAAGTAGGTGTGAAAGTGAGATAATGAAACCTGTGATTACGTATGTTAACTTAAAAAATGTGATGTACTATTATGGGAGC